GCCTCGTCAAGGATCCATCCTCCATACTTCTGGCTACAAGACGCGCGCAAAGGTCCGCGGACCCCAGCTTGTGGGGGGAAGAGGCGTGCGAGACACTTGGCTGTCCCCCTCCCCCTTTCCCCGTCCCCTGGGGTCACAAACGCCGTTTGAGGGGCGGGGGAGAGGGCACGAACTCGCCAGCGCGCCCCTGGGGTCTCCGGAGCCTCCCAAAAGCACCAAGTCGGCCCCAGAGAGCCAAGACATAGCGCCGAGATAGTCCTAGAGAGCGCCGAGACGGCGCAGGGTAGCCCCACGACGGTCTCACAAAGGGCTGCAAGACGGCCAACGAGGCACCCAACACGGCCTAGGAGTGCTCCAAGGGATCGTCGAGAAGGCCCCGCGAAGCAAACATCGTCCCACTCCCTACGTTAAGCACACATTCTGACATACTCGTTTTCTTCGTCTTCACAGCGTCCACGACGGCGCAAGGGGCCCCCAAGATCGTCCCAAGACGGCTCATGAGCCCCCAAAGAAATCCCAGACGGCCCAAGACAGCCACCGCAGCCTTTAAGACGGCCTAAGAGTGCCCCAAGAAGCGCCCCAAACTGATATTTTGAGCCTTTCCGCCCAATATGGCTTCGAAAACGCTACAGAGGCCCCTGAGACGCCGCCAATCGGACCCGAGAAGCCTCCGAGAAATTCCCAAGACGCCCCCATAAGCCCCGAGGAGGCCTCAACGACCCCCGCCCCCCCGATGCCCCCAAGGGCCTTCCAGAGCCATCCGGAAAGACCATCTTATGCATCTGGCACGATACCTTCCACGATCGTGGGAGGCTCTCACTACTTCTTGGGGTCGGCGGAATGGCGGAAGCCACTTGGATAATGACTGGAACGTTCACGATAGCATGCTGAAAAAGATCTGCGCTGCATCCGTGTACGAGTCTCGTGAGAGTTGCGCGAAGAGGAGGAGGAGAAGGACGAGGAGGAGGAAGAGATGCGGGATGAAGTGGGGTACGACCGGAGTAAACCAAAGATGCGCAACGATGCTGCAATACACCCTCCCGTCCCAAGTCCCTCCCCATGTGCCCCTACAAATCATCTCCGTAACTACAAGAGGCGCCCTTTTTTTGGACAGACCAGCAGAGATAAACCTGCCATTGTGGCGAGGGCCCTGTTTTGAAAAGGAATTACCTTGAATTCTAGCGGCGCGTGATCAGGAACGCGGAACACAAGAATCGTACGATTCAACGACATGTTCAACAAGATCCCCTTTTCGAGAAAGGACCCAACCCCATCCTTGAAACTCCTGCACAAGGTTGCTCGTACGAGCATGACCTTGGGAAACATCTCATAAACTCGATTGTGACCAAAATGCAGCCATGAATCCGTGCAGAGCTACCTGCGTCACTACTCCAAGAAGTCTGATGGGACACCTCCACTTCGATAAAGAGCGATCCTCCATCCTGCTAAACGCTGCAGTCAGAAAGGAATGCGAGCGGCGCTGTGGGGGATAGCCCCATTTTGAAAACGACAAGTGCTCAATCCTCGGAGCTGTTGCTAAAGGTTGAAACGAACCTTTGCGGCGCTAAGGCGAGAGCCCCACATTGAAAAGGAGCCGCTCTCCGTGCATCGATCGAGTGCTAACGATTAACACGCATGTGCGCGGCGCTACAAAAGGAAACCATTTGTGTTAACCAACGCCGGCTCCATCCCTGAAAGCGATGCAACTTGTAAGGCGATTGCGCGCGGCTCTACGGGGAGAGCCACATTCAACAAACGCCTCCTGCATCCACGAAGGTGCTGCGAATATTTCAAACGAGAGTGCGCGGCGCTAGGGCAAGAGCTTCGTTTTCAAAACCACGCCCTTTCCATCGCTGAAACTGCCGCAAACTTTCAGAGATGCGCGCGGCGCTGAGGCGAGAGGAGAGCCACATCAAAGAGTTACCCCCTCGATCCGCCGGAGCGTTCAAACGTTTGAATCCAACGTGCGCGTTCCCATCTGCACACGCTGTGAAGACGACTGTGCGAGGCCCTTCGGCGAGAGTCGCATTCCGAAAACGAACCCTTCCATCCTTTGCTTTGACACGGATGCAAGAGCATGTTTTACATGAATGTGCACAGCGCCCGGGCGAGAACTGCATCTTGGAAACGAGCCCCCCCCATCCGCGAAGCTGCTGCCAACTTTTCAAGAACGAGTGCGCGCGGCGCGGAGGCGACGGCACTATTTCGAAGACCCCCCCGCGCTCCATCTCTGGAGCTGCTGCAGATTGCAGACTTCAAGATCATAAGTGGTCAAGAAACCTGGGGCGAAACGCCCGGCCTGCCCAACCGCTACGCGTGGAGGTGCGACGTGGAGGACATGCATGTAAAGAAAAGTATGGACCAGTATGGTCGGGAAGACGAGGAGCAGGATGACGACAGGGGAGGAGGGAGGAAGGGAACGAGGGCGAGGGAGGAGAAGGAGGAGGAGCGGGACGAAGGAGGAGCAGCAGGAGCACGAGGAGGACGAGGAGGAGGAGGA